ATTTCGAATAGGCAAGCACCCATCAGTATTATGGCATGTTAAAAGTCAAAAATGCAAAACATTTTTAGAACTGTTCATCCCTACTCCACCTGCATGGCAAGGGAATTGCTAACACAGTGCCCAGATACAAAAACTGCAAATGAATGTCCTCTGATTTCTGCTAGTGCTTAGGAAAAATAAACAACACACAACCCAACCTGACAGCATCACTGAACAAAGTATACAAAAACTGTTATTTCAAGGCATATGCCTCCACAGGGAAGAAACTAAAAATTGGAAGAGCTTTTTTTTTTTTCTCCTAAGGTATTAAAAATGGAAAATATATGTCTTTCCACAGACCCAGACAGTGGTTTTAAGCCTGGTTTTATGTAACATCAGCCTCTCTGAAAGATGTCTGCAGACATATTCCCTATTAATTAGCAATTTAGTGGCCATCTGTGAAAAGGGATAAGCAAATATGTTTTGATTCTTTTAAAACAAAGCTGAGGAGTTAATTGCTTTTACTTCCTGTAGTAACACTCATCCTTCTCTCCATATATACACATACACTCAATAAACAAAGTGAGCCAAAACCATGCAGGTCAGTTCACAGATGTGAAGACAGTTTACTTTGCAAAACTATAATTTACCATATGCTCAGAAAAACCTGCTACATAGTGATATGAAGTATGAGCCTCCACAGAAAAAAAATCCTTAAAAGCAGCCACTGGATACTTCATCTCTATTTTAAAATAATTTGTTCTTCCCAAACACGTGTGCATTATTTAAGGTCCAGAATCAAAGGCATTTTTCACCTACCCACGTTCCCCTCTGGTGGAGCTGAGCAACAGACCCTATATCCCCATGGTTATGAGTACACCACAATCCCTCATGAATCTAATTAGGGGTTGCACCTTCCCATATCAAAATTACCAACAGGAAAACACTTTCTCCCTGAAAACTGCAGCCACAATGAAGTCAGTAGGACAGAGTGTGCAGTCATTACATTTGAGAGCACAGGAACACCTCCTTGCAGAAGGTGGCCCTGAAGCAGAGATCAGGGCTGCTGATACAAAGCCATGCTTTCCTATACTCTGTCCCAAGTTTAAATCCAACCAACAGAGTCAGCCCCACAGGCTCAACACCCCCATACAGCTTAATCATCCCTTCCTGGGGTCTATGCACAACTAACATGAAATAACCACTCTTCCTTCTACACACTACATACATTAAACTTTTTACTAGGTCAAAATCTGCACCCAACTCAGACAAAATTCCCAAGACATCTTCACTAACATATCACTACATTTTTAATGTTACCTGGATTTATTATTTACCATAGTGAACGATTGAATAAAAAAAAGGAAATGGAAGTGGTCTTACCTACTTTTTTAAACAGCTATCTGACATCACAACAAAGTACTATTACTAATGGCCAATGGGTCTACAAAGAGTTAATGTAACACAAGTGTATTTCTACCACAGGATCAGCTTCACAGAGGGTGTCAGCAGTGAGCAGAAGGGGATATATCAGCGGCTGAGCAGCAAATAAATCCAGATTTTGTCTTATATTAATTCTATCTCTCTGTGCAGAAGCACACGAAACATACATGGAAGTACACTAGTTATGAACTGCTTATGCTTTGAAATAACTAATATTCTCAACCCTTCTGGCACAAACATCCTGTTTGGGTGTCACCACAATCCTATGCTGACTGTCCTAGAAGCCTTTCAGACAGTTTGCTAGTGGATAAGACAGAAATGCATCTCTTAAAATCACTTGTTTACACAGTAACACCTCTCTGGAAACAGAGAGGCTCAACATACAACACTCCAAGATCAAAGAAAAAAGTATTGTTGCTCTTCACAACTTTCCTCCTCAGAAATTATTCAAGATACTCAGCCAGTAAAGCAGAACAAAACTAAAAGCCAAGTTTGCTAGAAACAAGAACCTGAAAGCCTTGCAAAGCCATGTTCACCACCATCTCCATTTCAAGAAAATCCCAATTTCTATTAAAAAGATCAAAATTTCAAATGGGATCTTGGTAAAGAAATCATTACTGTAAGCTTAGCAGGCCACTACTTACTATTTAAGCCACTAGTTTTTTTACACAGTACTTATTGCTATTCAAAATGAGCAGAGGATAAAACACCCAAAAAGAAGGTACTGTTACAATTTGCTTTCCAGTCACTGAAATCTGTCCCCATCAGGCTGGTGAAAGTTTTACTGTTTAATTACAGGAGGTTAATCAGCTCAAAGGGGAAAAAATAACCCTCCTATGGGAAAATTTCCAGCCTATTTAAACTAAAATTTTGCTAGAATCACTTAGAAATATTAATTCTGACTGTTATACATTTGTTCCCAAATATTGGGGTGTTTTTGATAACGCTATAGTGGCAGTTTTGGAATCTCTTACTCAACTAAATAAAAATGGTAACATCCTCACAGAAAGTGATAGTGTTGTTTCCACTTCATTTAAAAAAAAAAAAAAAGTAAAATTCCTTTACTTATTTCATACGACCATTTCAATACACAGCTACGCATTTTTGCCCAGACTACAGCTAGACGTGTCAAAAACAAGATAAATTCACACAGTCCTTAAAGACTTATCCTCTAGCAGGGAAGAAATTAATGGAGTGATATGCTGTGCTTGGACTTAGCAAATCCCACCTATTTACAACTGAACTTCTAGATAAACACCTAGGCTCCTCTCTGCCTCCTTCATGGCAAGAAAATGCTATTCCCTCTGCTAATGAAAGATAGCAGGAGATAAAATAAAAACAATGTTTATGGCAAAGTATGAATGAGAAATCATATACCCTTTCCTTTTATTAGTGGGCAGTAACACATTAGCAGAATTGATTTGATATTGCTTAGTTCTGATTCTCTGAGGATCTACAGCCCCTATCTATCCCATGCACAAATCTCTGTGATCTGACATCTGCAAAATGAGCACCAATGGAACACATAACCACCAACTGTGCTATAAGTGAGTAGCTCAGCTCATAAAAAACATGTTACTTGGTCATGGCAAATATGATTTTTTCTGAGTGAGGTACAAAAGCTTTACCCAAGAAACTTCTTCTCCATCTCCCCTGTTACACTTGCTTTGCATCTTTCAGGTACCCAGATCAGACTAGATCAGATTAAATTCTTATAAAATCACCCTAGTTCAAGCTCAGATCAATGTTTGGGAGCTTAATTCTACAAAATAAGGTCATTTTAACATAAAATTCTATGGTGGAAGATTGTCTATCAACAGCTAAGCTCTAAATAACTGCAAATGAAACAAACCAGTTTCGTTCCTCCCATCTGGAAGAATGACCACAGCTCAAAACTTCAAAATGTTGAAAGAAATCAAGACCCTACAAACTACAGAGAGGTAAACTCAAAGATTGGATCACTTAGTTGTCATTCCTGCAAACGCATATTGTGAATAGTCCTAATGGTTTTCACATAGGTGTCCACAGGATAAAGATGTTTAGATACACAAACAGTTACAGGGTTAGAAATTGAAGGTTACAGAAATCAAAAGAATTCAAAGCAGATATCTATCAACACTAATTATGCATAAATTCAGTTTCTTTCTGCCACATTGTCATATGAAGAGTTTGGAACAGGTATAACTCCAAAATACTCCCATGTATATTTGTGACTTTATGAAGGTTATGTTCATTCAGTATTCATAGTACTAAATAACAATAGTGAATAATACCAGCTATTCTTGTTGTAGTTAGTGTCATGGTCATAAGCCAATGAACAATACACCAAAGATTAGGATATTTCCTATTAAACTGGTACCTTCATCAGGAAATACATTTAGAAGTCTGTTTTGTACTACACCGCTACATTGTGTAATGCACCTTCTCATGAGCAAACTGCACAATTTCACCCATGTTTTATATAGATTTCTGCTATGGGGGTGTATTATTAGGATGACGGCACTCTAGGCACTGGATAAAGCTAAACGAACAAAATTAGCAATTTTCATAGCTAAAATATCCCAACCCTGATGCAATCAAGGATGCTTGTCTTTATACTTCTTCTCACTAACCTTCAGCCTCCTTAACACTGCACATCATCTCAGTACAAAACTTCAGAGTTGCTATAAAATGACACATCACAACGAAAGGTTCACATTTCTACAACAGGCACTGTGCTGCTAATTGAGTTTCATTATATATTTGGGTTTAATTCCCTGCACAGCAAGGACTGACTTTCTCTTCCTCTAGTTGGAATATTACCATACAGAAGCTTCTGTCTTTGTCCATATAATGATAATCTCTTCCATGGACAAAGTAGATTTTTTTTTTCCTTATTTTGGTTCCAATTCCACCCTTATCTAGAAAAACATGACCTAGTTTAGCAGTGGCCACCATATGGTTCTTAACTCCAAGTAGCTCTCAAGGCACTTTGAGTGCATATCTGCACTGAAATGACAATATGGCCAAAAGCTGGACAGCTTGGCAATATGTATCCATTATAATAAGGAAATGTGAGCCAGAGGTGCCCAAGGACAGCATCACCCCAATTGCTTTAGGATCTGTCTGTATGGTCAGCTCGTAGTGGAGTTTGTGGTTTCTAGAGAGCCCTTGTTCTCTCTCCCTGAAAAGATGATGCTCCCTGAACTCCTCTCACACATCAACCCATTTATCCAATATATACAGTTCTTAGACATACAAAGATTTTGCCACATAGCAAATTTAGGCACAAAGGTTGGTGCATTAATTTTTAACAGTTCAAGCTTTAAACATTTTAAGGTTTACTTACAAGAGAATATTGAAAGGATATGGACAGAATACGCCTTCCAAAACGACTGAAGTTTTGATTGTCACAACAGTACTCCTACTTGAGATTTAAAACTAATTAGTAAGAAAGCGTGTAATACCCATATTGCCATCAAAAATATTTTTAGCTGCATAATATTTGCCATGATTCCAGATGTTCTTATGAAATCGGTATTCATGAGATGCAGCTATTTGGCATTGCGTGTGAGAGAGAGAGAATCTCTAATACTTACAGCCAATCATCATCATAGCAACAGCAAAGATCTTCTCCCCATCTGTAGTCGGAGCGATGTTCCCAAATCCAACGCTGGTGAGGCTGGTCATTGTAAAATACAAGGAGGAGATGTAGACCGAATCTTTGCTTGGTCCGCCTTCCCATTTGCCAAAGCCTGATGTGTTAAAGCGGTAGGGAGTTCCTATTGACGCCCCCAGCTGATACAACCAGCTCTCCGTTCGGATGGTGTTCGTATCCTCATCAATAACTTCATAGTCTCCTATGCTGTACCAGATGCAGGCCAGCCAGTGTGCAGCAAGACCAAACACACACACCAGCAGAACCAAGACTGCTGCTCCGTACTCAATGTAGTGGTCCAGCTTCCGAGCTACACGACCCAGCCGAAGTAGCCTGACCACTTTAAGGGAACTGAAGAGGCTACTGATGCCCTGGAAGGATAAAGCACAGTGACTGTTAGAATTTAACATGAAAGCAACAATATTCCTAACTGTGGTTTCCAAAGACACAAGGTGATCCATAATGAACAGATGGTCACCAGGTAACACCTGAAAACAGAGACTGTGAAATACAAAAAGGTTATTGACCCTTTCCAGGGATGCACACAGGTGCTCTTGTCTTCATCCACTAACATTTTGTGAGTTACTCTCTTAATTCCCTTTGTAGGTTATTTGAATAAGTTTACAAATACATTTGTAAAAACTTCGAAGCACAGGTTGTCTTTTGCACATCCAGTTGTGCATTCCTGTGCAGCACATCAGATATAAAGTCTCAGATAAAACACAGATTGAAATATTTAGCTTAGACATACCAGAAAGATAAATAAGGAAGGCCAAAAATACTGCAAGTACCTAGCAATTTGTAGTTTTTCAGTGTAACAATGTATTTCCTATGACTTCACTTTCCTATAAGAATTCATACACTGATAATCAGTCCTTTGACATTTCTCACATTGACTACACAAAGCTTAACTATTTCAAATATCTCAATAATCCCCAAATCATATCCTTTTAATGGCAGCTTTGGTATCAATGCAGCATTTCTGTGCTGAAAATAACATGGCTCACATAAAACAGAATTAAGTCAGCATGTAGGATTTTGTATTATTAACTTTTATACAGATTTGCACAAGAAGTTAAATTAAAAAATTCAAAGCCATTTGGGGTATGAGAAGCATCTGAGCAGCCTTTCATAAAAATCCTTTTTTTTTTCCCCTACTTCCTCTTACCAATACTGTTTCATACATAGAAGTCTGATTAAAATTTAAACAGACTGGTTTAATGAGTATTTCTGGAAATGCATAATTGCATAGTTCTGGTCACCAGCTTTTACTGGAAGTTTGTTTATTCCTGCATAAATACAACTGCTTCAGTATCTTAGGCTGTTTCAATGCACTAGAAGAGATGTTTTATTAAATAATTACATAAAGCATATTGACTCATGTTCCCCAGGACTCTAGCAATATATTTCTCCTTTATTTCATGAATTTGTCATGATTACGTTGCCTCATTTTCAGAGACAGATGTAATTTGTTACCTGGGAACACACTATCAATTTCTATTAAGTATCTGGACAAGATGTAACAAAACCAGGGGAAGGGAAGTAAAAAAGACAGAAAGAAAAAAAAAAAGAGAGAAAAAAGTAGCCTTCCTTTAAATCAGGTATTTGCAGAGATCTAGAAGAGAGCAAGTAAACTATTCTTTTCGTGACTATTTGTGCCAAACTTTTCAAGTCACTGATGCAAAAATTGCTACACAAAATAAGTTAATTTGCATTTCGCATTCATTCCATACACAGCTTTGTTTTGCAAACATTGGAGCAAAGCCTCTGTGCCAATTCAGAGAACACAACACAAAGGCCTTAATTTCCAGGTGAGGGAAAGCAGGTATTTCTGAACACTCAGTATGGAGAGGAAAAGCAAAGGGGAAAATACAAAAAATTATAAATTATAACCATATTTTAGAATTGGATATGCAAGTCCCTGAGTGACAAGCACATATAGCCTCTACATTCTAAACATTCTGACATAACAACACAGCCTTCTGGCTTTTTCACTTAAGACCGATGCCCATTTCTCCTTTTCCTTTTTACAAACTTCAACAGTAAAACAGTAATTTTTTTTTATATTTTGAGAGGTCTCCAGCAATTGTCTGCTTTTAGCTTCAGTCTCAAAACCAAGCTTTTTAATCACACAGTGCTTCAAAGTCTCAGGAAAGGACAGAAACTTCTCTATCCCAACATTTGAAAGAACAGTTCTATTTTTGTTCAAAAATAGTGGTGCAAAACCTGTTCTTCAAATAAAACTCATCCCTGTGATTAAAAAAAAAGAATGTTGTTTGTCAGTGAGAGTTCTACCAAAGCCAAAAACTAATAACGATTCAGGGAAGACTTAAGAGTTTCGAATTAGGGTAATTCTCAATTAATAAAAACAAACAAACAAACAAAACCCCAACAAAACAAAACACACACACTCAAAAAAAGTTGAGGACTAGAAATATCTGGGGAAAGAAAAAAAAATCATAGAAGGGAACACAAAATAAAATATGCAAAATTAGATTTAAAACATTCAAGGCAAACTACATTGTTTTCAGGGTACTCTTAATTTCCCTTGTGAAATGTACTTTAAAAAATTTGTTAAAAATATTTAAAATGGGATTGAGCTGCATCATTTAGGAGAAAGTGATTCTACCAAATTCTGATCAGAGAGATAGAGAGAACTGGCCTTTTTGTACAAAAAGAACTTGCATATTTGCAGAAAATATGTACTTGATTTGGTTGCACTGAAATGTGCAATTAATATTCAAATTACTTATAAATAATTGTAAGTAAACTTCATCTGACTGCATTGCCAATAAGATTGTAAAAGTTCAGAAAAAGTTATATTAAAAAAATAATTTATTTTTATTTCAGCATTAGCAGTATTTTCACTTCTATTTTCTCAGAGGAAAGGATTTGTCTATTCTGAATGGATCAATATCAAGAGCAACACATGCCCAGATTGTTCATAGAACTCTCAAAAATTTCTAAGTGACAAAATTTCAAATAGGTATAAACAACGGAAACTTAATAGACTGTTTCATAGATGATAAATTAGAAAAAATACAGATGATTCTCCAATACTTTAAAACAGTACTTTTTGACACTAGATTTACCAAGTTATATTTTAATGTATTATTCACTGGAATAGATCTGCTGGATTCAAAGCGGACAATTTTAGATTACCACTCTCCAAAATAAAGCTATACTTTCAGATTACTGTCCATTTTAATGCTCTTATCAGTGCAGATTATTTTTATGCTTTCATCATAGAGATGGCTCCACGATGTCACGCAAGGGAGCCTCAACTCAATTTATTGTTCTTGATGTGTGTCCCACCCTCTTAGCTCTGTTACTCCCATCAGCTTTGAGAGGCAGATGAAAAGACACCCAGATCTCCTTCTTCCCAAAGGATATAGATGAAACTCAGTTCATAAAGAGCTAGAAATTGCACTATGGGTCCCAGACAGGCACCCCCAGATCCTCTGTTCTAAAGGACCACCATAAGGAAAGTCTATGTGGCAGTCAAGGAAAAGACAGGACTATGTAATATCCCATATGTAAGACCTACCTGTGTCTGACTTAGTCTGACACAGTTGCAACTATTAGTGCTGTATCCAACAGAAACTTTCCCTTGGGGCTATGCAAAAGCTAAGAAATCTGTTATATGGCCAGACTAGACACATACTACATTTGTATTATATTTTATTACAGAGAGAACTTACGTAAATGTGCAGCACTTAGCAAAGTATTCAGAAAATGCTGAATTTCACACACAAATGTATTTCAAATTGTATGAAGTTTAACTGAATGGCACTAAAAAAATTCTACTGCTGATACCTTCATGGAGATGTCGATAAATGTTTCATAGGTTGGCAGGTTTACTTTCATTGCCACTGATGGCTGATGTATAAAAATGGAAGACAGTGTAGCGAATCTCCTCCAAACCAAAGGGCAAGCTCAAAGCCCTGAAACCCAGAAGAAATACTCTCTAGTCACTGATGGAGCAAACTTGAATGTCAAAAGCCCTTAAAATAATAAACACAACCACTCCCCCTTCACTCCTCCTACTCAATCTTTGCAGAGGGGAACTGCACCCCAAACACAACAGAAAATCAAACCAGTCTCAGTCCTAGAGGAAAGTAGGACCTGCATTTTACATTCAAAGAGAATGCTTCATAATTTTATCCATGAAATACTGCCAAAAGTAAATTTCCATATATAATTTGTCATTAATTAGACCTACTCATTATAGACCATGCACTTTTACACAGGTTTTCTTCTCTAACTTCTGCTTTTCTGCAAGATCTGATCTACTGTCAGTGCACCCCTTGTCTCACACTGGTGTCTCAGCCATTAAGTAATCTTCTTTCCAAACATGGGATCCAGGATATCTATGCTTAGGCTCTAGCTCTGCATCAGACAACATAAGATTTGTGCCATTACTTCCATATCCAGAAAAAGAGATAGAGGCACTGTGAAGTGTTTTTAAAACACAAGGGAAGGGCTGTAAGCAGAGTAATTATTATTACTTCTGTCATTATGGTCCCCAAGAACAGTAACAGTAGATACTACAGCATTTTGTGCAAATAAAAAACAGTTGCTGCTGTTCATTTGCCATGCAAAATTAAACTAAACTCAATTCATTTAATAATAAAATTTCACCTAGAAAAAGCAAAATACAAATTGTTTGAAGAACAGCAATAAAAATTAAGTGCAGTCCCCCTCCTCCCCAAAAAATAAAAAACAAGGAATAATTCATTTTCTCTTTCAAACAAGATGTAGGATGAACAACTTTAGAAAAGAACTAAAATGCAATGTTCACCTCCTACAGCTGCAGTAACACTAGTACTTTAGTAAAAGATTCAATCTGCATGATGGTACTTAGTTTTTAGGCCATTATTCACTTTCTACATGCACAGAAAGAAAATGCACTTAACCCAAGCATTAAGATTTTTTTTTTTCTAGGCTCAAAGGAAGGATAATTTACTTCCTACTTACTATCTATTTTTAAAAAGAGAAAGATTCAATATTGGCGCAAAGTTTTTCAGCACTTTCCTCTCATATGAAACTGCTAAAGTTCAGGCTTCATCTTAATTAAAGGGAGGTGCAGGAGACTAAAAGCTAACGATTAAAAGAGAGAGAATGAAACAGACCCAAAAAAATAAATTATTTATTCCAAAAAGGGAGGCAATGAACCAAATTTATCACTACCATAAGTGAGGCAAGAGCCGTGGAAAGCACTACCTTCTTTCTTGACATTTGATGCTGAAGTCAGCCATGCCGCACCCCGGCTCTGCCTATCTGCAGTAACATGGCAGCCCTGTCAGGTCATTATTAGGAGTTCTCATTTCTGTCATTTGCCTCTTCTGATTTTCTTAATTAGGTCTGAGAA